TTGGCTAAGAAACGGTTAGTAGCGTTGTTGAGTTCATCGGGATAGTGTTACGATTTCAATGTTCGGCTGGTAAAGAATAGTTATTTCACTTTGGGTGGTGGATAATCATAATCTCCTCAGACGTAATAAAACTAATACTCAGAGTTCCCCACCTTTTAAAACTACGGTAACTATTTTAAGCAGAACGTTTTATTGTGGTGCTCATATATCAAATGTCGCATAGAAAACCAAAAGAAGAAAGGTTCCGGTTTATGTGGGGCAAAGTTCACGGTTTAGAGTGATGTTTGACTTTACTGTAATTTAAGCTAAATAGACACAGTTCGTACTTCATTACTTATTGAATAATAGCTGTGTATGAGTCAGATATGTATCTGTCTTTTAATTTTGAAATGTGTGCTGAGTGCTTCATTCGAAATTTTCGAGAAGGAAATGAGTCGAAAAAAAGTATACAAAATCAAAACAATTTTGTGTTGTAACTCCTTTAATGGGAGAGTGTATGAATACATTTATGAAATCTCTGATTAAGACATAAAATTTGGTAAAACTGGCTTTAATTGTAAGAGATTAGAACTGATGAAAAATATTGGAATTATAAAATATACGTATTAACTATGATAAAGTTTTTTAATAACAAAATGGACTTTTTTTAAATGTAATTCCTAATAGTTTTATATTTTTACCAATACAGGCCAACGTTTGAAAAATACCAATAAATGAAAACAAAAGCAGCGCTTGACACAGAGAGCCGCTTATATCCGCCCGGCGGAGTCACCTCTGCTCGATCTCACCCACAGCAGCAGCAGCGGCCTCCATTTTAACTCCGACACCGAGTTGTACCTCACGTGTCCTGGGCTGTCTCTCTCACATGACCCGAGTGTTTGTTCCCGTGATCAGCACTCCCATCTCCGTCTGTGACACCGAATATCACTTTTTATTTTCACCCTGATGGATATGCTCGAACAGAGTCTGGACACTGCAAGGTAAGCGGGACACTCAAAATGGCTAACAGAGACAGGCTAGCAACTACATGCTATTACACACAGCTAGTTTAGGACGCTTAGCAAGGCCTGACCCTAAAAAACTGCTGTCAAAACAGTTTAATGTGAGAACTGCTCTTAAGTTAGCAACTAAGACGGAGGACCTTCTAAGCAGATTATTTGACATGTGGTGCTCAAAGATACAAGTGGTGTATTACAAGAAAACATAATAACTAGGTAATAACATTTCAGGAGGAAAGATAGCCTAAGCTAACTAAAACGCTGAATATTGTTGCCAGCCGTTAAGGGAAGCAGAAACCACAGCAAGGTTCGATTTTTCTGCAAAATTACATTGTTGGTTTGCGGGACTGTTGCATGGGTTTGGATTAGGAGAAGTTGAGGGTGGTATACTATGTTTATTTGATCGTTGAAACATTTTAACCACTTCGTAATTTCTGAAAACTGAGTTGTGTTTGCACTCGATTTGCAGCCAAGAAAAGCAAGAAGAAGAGGTTGTCCAGGCATCTGAGGGTGAGCTTTTGTTTGGCTTGCAGTGGCAGTGATGTGTGTCAAATATGAAAGCAATTTTATAAAGAATAATGGTACATTTTAGACCAAACTATTGCTTACGAATTCGAAACCAGTTGTATTTTTTTCTCACGGTGTAAAACAGACTAAGGTCATTACTAAAGCTATTTTTATTTGTGGAATACTTTGGTTTTTATTTGCTCCAAATTCAGAAGTTTACATAAAGTTCCATAGTACTGTACTTGATGAAATGCTTTGAAAACTTAAGGACTTGGATCAAATATTTTATCTTTCCACAGGCAACTCAAAATAGATCTTTTGGCTCATTCCTCCAAACAGAACTCATGTAACTTAGGCAAGTTTGTAGGTTGTCACTTTTTTCACCTTTGCCCACTAATTTTCTGTAAAACTGAGATCAGGGTTTTCTGATAGCCACTCCAAAACATAGACTTTGTTGTCCTTCAGCCTTTTTGTAATCACAATGTACTTACTATGCTTAGGGTCACTGCCCATTTGGAAAACCATTTGTACCCAAGCTTTACCTTCCTGGCTGTTCTCTAAATGTTTTGCTGGAATATTTCCACATAATAATCTGTTTTCATGATGCCATCTGTTTTGTAAAGTGCTCTCGTCCTTCTTCCTGCTAAGCACTCACACAACATGCTGCTGCCATCCCTGTACTTCACTGTTGTTATGGTGTTCTCAGGCTTGGCGATCATCTCTAAATGGACTTTGAGCCCAGTTTGTTTCACTGAACCTGTTTGACTCTAGAAAACGACACTCCCTTTCAGGGCTTGACTCGCTCATACCAACGCACATTCATCTCTGGAACACAGGACAAATATTTCTGAACAGTATGCTGGATATTCTAATACTGTTTATACTTGCATATAGTTGTTTGGATGAATGTGGCACATTGAGGAATCTGAAAAATGGTACCAAGGATGACTCAGACTTGTGGAGGCCCACAGTTCTTTTCCTCACATCTTGGCAGATTTGTTTTGTTTTTTTCCCCTTACACTTTCACACAAGAAAATATGTTTTTGGAGGTGTTGCCTTAAAATACATTCACTGAGGATGCATGTCTTCTCTAATTAATCTATCAGAAACATACAAAGCTATACTGTCATCGTCTTGGCTTCACTAAATTGATAAAAGTCTTATTGATCTTAATATGTGTAAACTTTTAAATTGGAAAAATATATATATTGTTAAAAATATATGTCTCTCATTTTTCTGGTATTCATTAAGTAGATGTAATTTTGGTAATCCCAGCTGGGATAAAACAATAAAGTTTATATTATTTTTGAGAGTGAAAAACAAAATGTTGGTTTCAACTGTATATCTCTTTGCTCTATGTAAAAGACAGAGGACCTCTTCTACAGCTTCATTAACCTCTTGGTAGTTCTGATTGCTCTTCTTATAATAACCACTGGCTGTTTGCGTTTTCTTTTTTCACTGCAAGACGCAACAGGGGAAGAGCAGACGGCTGTCACAATAGCTAGTGTTCAGCAGGCTGCAGCATTTGGAGACCACAACATCCAATATCAGTTTCGCACGGAGGGGGGGCAGGTAGGTACCTTATGGATCAATCAGTGACACTGAGGTGACTTCTGCCTTCCATTGGCAGTTTCAGAAAGTCTTAAAGTGCTCTTGATGGCAAACACATCTTGGTTTTAAGAGCAGAAAAAGCCTCTGTTCCAGATAGGGGCACAGTTTGACTCCAGTAATTTCACATGTCTGCCTCTGGTGACCAGGCGGTTTGCAGCATAGGTGGGGGAAAGGACTTGATCAGAAGCATTGTGTTCTAAACAAAGTGCAATGTGAACGTATTCTTACCTTCTAAGAAAATGTTCACATTACCACCCTGAGGTGTTTTATTGGGATTTCATGTGATGGACAAATATAAAGTTGTGAAAATTGTAAAGTTTTAGGAAAGCGATGCATAGTTTATTGCAAACGTGGAGTGAGTTTGTCGTTTTTGCTTTACTCTGTTCCCCTTCAATGAATTTAATTGGAACCGTCTTTAAAAGTTGCGTAGTCTATAATTGACTCCAGCTTTGTGTAATTTAATGTCGGTCTCAGAGATTTTCAAAAGAGCATTAGTGGACAAACTGCATCATGTAGGTCAGCGGTCTGCAACTCCAGTCCTCAAGGGCCAGTATCCTGGCACCTCAATCAAATTACCTCCTTTGTATGGAGTCAGGTTCTCCAGAGTCCTGCTAATCACCTGATTATTTGAGCAGAGACACATCTAAGAGTTGCAGGACGCCGGTCGTCGAGGACTGGAGTTGCAGACTCCTGATGCAGTCCTATCAAGACATGGTTCTCCATGTAATCTTGCTAGCTGGGTAAGGAGAGTGCTATTCTGAGAAAAAGGTCAGAGTTCCATAGAGGTTTGCTGAAGAGCAACAAGAAGAAAGCCATTGTTGAAAGAGAGCCATTAAAAGTTGCGTTTGTAGTTTGTCACAAGATATAAAGGGTAACAGGAAACACATGGATGTAGGTGCTTCGGTCAGATGAAGCCAAATTAAACTGTCTGGCCTACATGCAAAACGCTGTGTGTGGCAAAACTAAAACTGCACGTCGACTCAAACACACCCTTCTCACCTTGAAACATCCTGGTGACAACATTGTGCTTGGGGGACACTTTTCATCTTCAGGGTCAGAATTGATGGGAAGTTAGATGGAGCTAAAAACACACATTGTATTCTTAGAAGAAAAATTGTTGAAGCAGAAGTTTTGAGCATATTAGCAAGTCTAAAGTATACTGCAGCTTCTCAAACGGAATGGTTTATTAATGTGTTACAATGACCTAGTTAAAGCCAAGACTTAAATTTATTAGAGAATCTGCGATAAAACCCAGAGGAGCATTTTAAGAGCACCAAACCCATCAGTAGAGAGAAATGTTTTAAAAACACAATGGTTGAGAAGTTTAGATTCTTGACAAATTCCTATTGTTGGATAAAACCTTTCACCTCCTCATGACTACAGAGCTTGAGAAAACATGAATGGACTGAATACAAATGTATTTGCTTCATATCTGTTTACCATGAAATCGATCTTCACTGATTGAGCTTTAACTAATGGCTACATTAAAGTTGGAACTTTGAAACACCAAACCATGAGAAGTTTCTGAGGATTCTCGTGACTCCTAACTCCAAATCATCCTTTAGTGTAAAAACAGAACAAAAGACCCATTTAAGCTACAGAATCGCTACACAAGCTTAAAAAAGGAACCAGGCACTGTCTATTTAAAGGTTATCCAAGCGTAATTTCACTCCTAGAGATGTCATTTTGGTTGCAGCATCCACTGCGCCAAGAAATTTCTGGACGGTTGGAAATATCATGAAAATGTTTCATGGCAAGCTGGTCAGATCAGCCAGTACCTGCTGTTCATGTCCCATATTTCTGAGTCAGGTGGGTTGTAGGCTAATTTGCCTGAAACGAAGATAAATGTGTTTTTCTTTCACTGGCTCCCAGAAGTCCAATGTGACTATTATCTTTTTTTTTTTTTTTTTTTCCTATCCACTTATCTGCATCTCTTTACTCGTTAGTGATGGATCTCGAAATGGTGAATATGTTTTTGAAAAACGTACCATAACATAGAAGAGGGCTTTTTCATATTAAAGGGTGATATGTATGTATTTTATTTTATTTTTTTTCCCACTGGAGGGAATTAAGTCAGTCATCCATGTGGCTCATTTGGCGTAAACAGGTCTAGCGTGAGCAGTCATGTGATTCCAGTCTGGTCTGGGATTGGCATAGGGGAGATGTCACATGTCAGTCAGCAGGACAGTCACATGATGGAGGAATACAAATAGCAATTCTTGAGACAAACGAGCTCATTTTCTTCACAGCTTCCTTTAAAATTAAATCAGGCACATTCTGAGGCGTAAGCATATTGTGTGGGATGATGAGATCCGTGGACTGCTGAGGTTTGAGCAGCGATTTCAGATACTGGCTTTGGCTAACCTAAAGAGACAGAAATGATAAATAAAGCAGCGAGCCAGGTGAGGTTTCTTATCCGTGTTCAGAACACCTAAAATGCAAAAAATAGTATGATAGATGTCTGCTCTAATTACTCGACTTCACTAATTTGTGTCTCTCTGCCAAAGGTGACGTATCGTGTTGTCCAGGTGACCGACCAGCACGTTGATGGAAGAGAGGATGCAGGAGGAGCAGTGAGCGTCGTTTCAACAGCTGCTTTTGCTGGGGCTCCTCAGGCTGTGGCTCAGGTAACACAACCATTTTTTTTTTTTTTTTTTTCCCCTGACCGGAAGAAATTGGTAATATGTAGAGCTTTAAAAGAAATGCTGTATTCTTTGTCTTCATTATAAAAAAATGTTCTGTTTTAGCATTTCATTAAGAGACTAAAACTAATGCAAAACTATCCTTCCCCTTCATTTCGTCTGTGTATACGCTATCGGTGTGTTGTTGGAGTCTCTGACCTGTTGGAATCGGGCAAATAATAAAAGAAATCTTTGACAAAAGGTTGGCGAAATAAACCTCCAAGACTGGCTCTTAACCAGAGGAACTGTGAGGTGGAAGTATTAATATTCAGACTGGACAGTTTTCTTCTGAAATGTTCACATCCTGTTAGTGTCATGTATTCAGAGACAGTGACAAATACTCAAAATTATCACAGAATTAAAAACAAGTGATTGAGTCCTGCAGTCTAGTCATCATAGGGTTGCTACGGTAACAAGTCCAGGAAGAAAACAGAGACGCCCCTTTTCGTAGCCTCACTCTTGTTTATGTTGGGAATCACAAGGTGTCCTTCCAGCAAGTTCTGGATCTGCTCTGAGAGCTCCACTGTGAAATGTTAATAAAAAGTGAAACTTGTAATTTTTTTTTTTTTTTTTTTTTAGTAATGGCACACCTTAGATGACTGTCTCAAAAAGGGCTTTTTTTAAAATATCTTTCCCACATTTACTGCTGACTTTATTATATTTGAAGATACAGAAAAACATGCATTGAATTCCCTTAATCTAAATCATCACTGTAGACTATCGAACTCACCTGAAAGCAGTTTCTTTAATAAAGCAGATTTTATCCAAGTCGCTCGAAGCAGTTCCTGCTTTGCTTTTGTTTAGCAGTTTCCACCTGTGGGCATTACAGTACAGGGACTGTCTGCTACCTGTTGACTGAGCTGCATGTAGAGTAGCAGAACGAGGGGGTTTCCATTCCCTCCCCAATTAACCCGCTGACCCCTGCTTATCCACAGCTGGTGCGCTGCACACATTACAACAGGGCTTGTTTCGCCAAATAATTATTGTTTCGAGCAAACTACAAACAGAGGCAACTTGACAAAATAGGAAGCAATGTTATCTTTAATTTTACGGACTAATTAATGTGTTTAATTTATCTTCTGCTGGAATCATAAGCTACTGTCTCCATCAACAAACCTGCGAGATATTTTTGTTTTTGTATTTTATTCCTTTGTTTAAACAAACACGTGAAATAGGTTGACTTTAAAGAAAATCAGAAATCGGTATCGGCAAGTAGTTCTCCGAATGAAAAGCTCTATGTAGTTTTAAGTCATATAAGTACAATCAGAGCAATAATTCAGAACCAATAATCATTGTGAACTTTTTTTTTTCTTCTTAGGGCTGCAACTAAAGATTATTTGGGGCCTGCCAGCAATGCATAGGGAGAGCAGTGACTGACCTGCAAAGCAGGTCAGACA